TTTGTCTCATCAAACATGATTGATACATACTCCGTCATGTACAGCCGCCACTCCTAATCTCACGCTTTATCCTGAACCTGCGCCACGCGGTGCACCAGAGCGACGGCAACGCCGCGGAGTCGACGTCGGGTTATGACGCGTCTCAGTTCTCGGCACCGAACTTCCGAATACCGCCAAGTCTGGTGGGCAACATGGGCGAGTTCTTACATGCTGAGGAGAGCGAGGACATGTATGATGATTTGGGGTGGCATGCGGCGGAGGAGACGCGGTTGTCTTCTGAGCTCATATAGGGGGAGTAAGTCTGTCTAGTATGATGCAGCTGCCGACCAAACAACGCCGTGGCGGATCTGGTGACAGCTTTGCTACGCGGCACTTAGCAATCTCCTGTACATACATAAACCATATCGTGCGGCTTCATACCCGTATTATTATGCATACAAACTCGGCTTGTGCATAATCCCAAAAGTACCACGGCCAGGGCGACCAACTAAGGCCAAAGACATATCTGAGCAAGCATGACAACAAAGCCAAGGCTTCTGAATACTGTCTTGCAGTGAGCCTCAGTGTGGCGGGTTACTTGGGTTGTCGTGTTGCTTGCGAGCGTGCCCGAAACAACTAGCTGAGTCCGACCCGGAGGCCCAGCTGGCAGCCGGATTCCAGTTCGTGACGATTAGCACGTGCCGAGGGGCGTGACGATACGTATTACGCGTGTCACAAGTACTGCTCGACGCAGACGGGGACGGTGGGATCGGCGGTCTCCTAGATTTTTTTAAATTCTCGTTCATATATATCTGTAAAGATTGAGCAGGGAAACAAGTGCCGACGGTAAGGTATTTGAAATTATACTTACTACTAGATCCGACTCATGTAAGTATATTGCTAACATGCTAACTGGACGCTGGCATGTACTACACGACAATATCCACAGAATGCCTGAAGGCACATAGATAGAGTCGCTCTCCCCATATTTGTTGTAGTGATATTACTACTTTACAGGGATACTCTTAACGGACTCGGAAACAGGACGTGTACCTAGGATGAGGCCGCACCAGGTCAGACACTCTCCACCGACCGCGCGGAACTGGTTGTCCTACTCGTTTGGTCACTTTCCCCGGACGCGCCAGCATAACTACCCTCTTTTGAGATGGCATAAACGACGTTGTTGAAGACAATAGGCCCAGATGCGGAATCCCACGTTGCGAGCCATTCGCTCTCGACGGTCTCGATTTTGCCGATGTTCATCGTGAAGCGAACTGTGAGGATGAGTGGCTATTTGGTGTTCATCAGCGTAAGCGGGGTACAAGTATATAAATGATACTTTACCACAGAGGCCAAGAGAGGATCGAGAATCTCTCCTGTCATGATAGTACCCTGAAGAGGATGAGCACAGGCACACGCTGTCAACGTAATACACTGCACCTTAAAAATGGCCATCTGTGACACATCGAGGGCTAGTATAATCCTGTGGCGGTGAAAGAATGTTAGCTAGGCATAAAGCCACAGCTTTGTCACATACACGAAGTAGACCACACCTGCGTGTTATTAGTATCATACATATTCAACGTATGAAGTGTGACATACCGTTGTAAAGGAGGTACTTAGCCGTGGGGAAAGCGACCCCGATTCGCCTCGCCGTTCGGCACAATCCAAAAGTGATGGACCAGGTTAATGCCAAGACGATAATGTCTCGACAAAGCAGAGTAAAGCAGGTGATGTAAGCGGCTGATAGTCCGTCAGAATCATCCATGGCTCTACTATCGCAGTACACTACCCACATCTGTCGTGGACCGGCCGGTCAGTACCGAGTGTCCACTTGGGAATGAACGTGATACCCACATGGTATAATTCCGCTGAAAATGCGCCGCCGACTGGATCCACGTCTTGACACAGCCTGGCACATGTGGCAGGTAGTCGCGACGATATCCTCCTACTGCGAGCTGAGAGGCATTAGTATTCTGTAGGCGAGTACGTCAATGTAGTGGGCAACCTACAATGTTGCTTCCGACTGGGACGAAGCCCAAGATGAAGCAAACTATCGTTGTCGCTCGCTTGTACCTGTGAGGGCACAGCACGAACACTCTTCGGGTGATAAGAACTAGATATCTCAAGTCAGATGTGGACGTGGCGACATGGGTACATTCGCGAATCGCACCATCAACCTGCGCCCAGCTGACCAGCTGAGCGATCGAAGACACCCAGAAGGCCAGGTCACAGCTGTTCAAAAGCTCGTAAGCGGTACACATGCCAATCTTCCGCGTGAGAAACCTTACCTCTAATTGGAAGCGCGGCGAACGGATGAGGCAGTGAGGCTACATGCAAAACCCGGGAAGGCTCGACCATTGCTCACCTCAGGCGATGTTCGCATAATCTGAGAGAAATATCCTGCAGCTTGACAAAGCAGAGACCATCGAGCTGTCAATAATAGACAGGACCACGGAGTGATGGGCCGCCTCCATATCTTGACCACCTCTTGAGGAAGAGTGATGATGTAATCGTATATGACAAGTGCTGGTAGGAGCCATAAGTGAAGTACACACGGATCAGATGTTCTAGCACAAACCGGTAACTGCGATGAGCACATACGTGCTGGGGAGACCGGAGCGTTGAGCATCAGGAGGCATCTCCGAGACGCTAGTGATGCCTTACCTGATCGTCTGGGACCCGATGAGCGACGCGTTTACCTCGATAGGCATCATCGTAGTGTTTTGGGTGGTCCAGAGTCTGCCGGGAGAACGATATGTTATATGAACTGAAGAATAAAGGCTTCCCCTCTGGCGCCTCACGAAGGGAACAGGCCTCGAGCCAGATCGCCGACCCTATCTACCCTTGGTGTCCATACAGAGTGTTACTCCAAGATTCGATGCACTACTGCGGCAAGCTGTCGGGAGAATTGAGATGATGGACAACGTCCCATTGGACAGCGGCGCACAGCTTTGCGTGGGAGTTTCTGGAAATCCAGGTTCGGGGTGATCGTGCAGGACCGCCTTGTTCCTCATTGGGCGGAATCGTCCTGCGTACCTGCCCGTGACGGCGATAGCCATATGGCTTGTGAGTACGGTTGGTGCATACCCGGACGAGGGCAGGTCATGACAACCCTTTTATGGGGCTCTGCGTCCCAATGACCCTTTCTGTGGGCTGCAGGTCACAAGAAGAGGTCGGGCTTGGCGGGGGAGAGGTTTTAGCTGTGCTGGCATGTCTTTATGCCACTTACATCGTGGCGCTGCACGCTTACGGTATGTGCACTGAGCTACGAATCGTGCCTGAGAGTGAGCTACCGGTCTATGACGTCTAGAAAGTAACCAAGGACATACACGTATTTAGCTCACAACGGCCCAATGCACTGTGCAACCTACGAGCGAACTAGAGGCTCCACGCTGGTAGCCAGTAGATTACTTGGCTTTGCCGACTGCAACGCCGGGTATTAGATTGACATCACGATTGAGGCGAAAAGACCGGACTGTGGCGCGATGTAAGGCTGTTGGTGCCTGACACTCGGCATTTTTTGTAGCTGTGCGTCAGGGGATCTCCAGGCAAGAATGGCCCGTGCTCGACAGTACGACAAGGAACGGCGAGAGTGTGACAAATGGAAGCTCGCACTTGGCCGAAACTCTGGTCTAGTTGTAAATCGTACCCGTAACACAAGGGTTCAGTGCCTTCATGATTGCCAAAATGATGCTGTGCAGGGATGCAGGCACCACAGGAGCGTATCCGCACCACCGAGGGAGGCCGACTACTGTATTCAGAACTCGGGATGCAAGGCAGTGGCGGAGAACTTACAGAAAAAGCTCTCGGGTCCCGTTCCGACGTGTAATCGGATTGGGTTGAGTTTCATATATTAATATCAGGAAGTGAACATTTCGCGGGAGAAGATTGCAGCTGGCGTCTCAATACTAGGAAAGGGGCCGAGGTGAGCAGGGACGGTGCAAATACAAATTATACTATCGAGTGTCCTTTTAGTAATGTCCTTGCAGATAAAGCGTGAAGATGTTTTTCTGAGCCAAGACCATTCATGCTGGCCTGGCAGCAGTCTCCGCGATGCGTCGCTTGTCGAGTCCGTTTACTATGATGGCACCTGGACAGACCGCAAGTTCAGCCTCCAGAAAGATCTTGAAGCAAGCCTGGGCGGGGACACACCTGTCATAATGGACGAGATGCCAAGCATGACGCGCTCGCGTGAGCACCTTGTCGCGTGCGGA